CCCCAAAACCCCAAAACCCCAAAACCCCAAAACCCCAGTATGGAATTTAACGCTAAAATTTTATTAATTAAATCCAATTGCAGAGTTAAGCTGAGAATTCTGTCTGACTGAAGATTGTGGTCTATTAATGATTAAATCAGTATAAACAAATCCCGTACCTTTTCTTAGGTGAAACCCTCAAGAACCACTTCTTGACTGGAACTCGTTGGGTCTTATGTTTCTAAACATCGTTAAAATCAACTTACGATTAAAAATAGTAGTTGAAGGATCAGTACGATTGAGATAATTAATATGAACATAGATAACATCAGAGTTGTAGAGACTTCACTCCAATCTTCTTCAGTATGGTGAAGTATTATCATAAATGAGAACAAGGATATTAAAATTTCACAAATAATCTCAACCAAATTCTCTTTTACTCTCTTAAAAGGTCTGATAGCAATAAGATAGACTAGAAAGACTACATTTAGAGCCATAATAAGCCCTGCTTTGAGTCCCATTTTTGATGAGCTTATTGTGAGGATTATTACAGCCAGAAGTAGCTTGCGTAAAAGCCCAAAAGAGTGGAATAGCCTTGCATATTTTGATATCCTGAATCCTTTACCAAGGAAGCCAAGAGAAGCACGTTTGAAATGAAAATAAGTTGAAATGGTTTTAAATGTATTAAAAATTGCTGTAAAAATCCCGAACCCAATACAAAATATTAGAATCCCAATGGAGAGGATAAAAGAAAGCAGCTTTCCAGTACCGTCTTTGACCCCTTGAGATATCTCACTCACACTCGCTAACAAGAGGTATGCTATAGCTTGATAGAAAAGGATGACATAAAGATCATAGTAACACAATTTCTTCAGTTTGCCAAATAGTTTTGAAATCTTTCCATCTGGATATTTAGGCCCGTCGCATTCTTTCAAAAAGTAGCAAAGAACATAGACTAAAATGTTAGAGAATACTAGGGTGCACAAAGCAGCCATCAAAGGCAACACATTCAAGAGAATACTACAGTTGTGCACTCCAATGTCATACAGCCTATTTTCAGTCTGCTCGCATTTGAAGTGACTGTGAGGGTTAAATATCTTATTCAGCAGAGAATCTTGATTGAAGTAAAACCTGAATGAAAACATGGCTGGGCTGAGTCCTCTTATGTACCAAGTAATGGACTCTGAGAATCTTTCTCCAAGACAAAGCAAGATACACAAAATCTGGAATAAGTTTCATAATGAAAAGATTGCACTCATAGACCCGATTTTGTGATATTGAAGCAGTGGAGTTATGATCATGTACACAATTGTGATGAAAATAGAGGCGTAAATTGATATTTGGACAATCGAAGAAGGCTGATTCTCAGGATGCACCCATAGATATACATTCTTGTTTATAGACATACCTGCAGTTGAAACTTCAACAGTAAGGCTATAATTCTCAATCTTCTCGATGTTAGGAGTTCGCATGGATAATCCAGAGAAGTATGTAGGCACCTTTATAAAATCAGGCATGGACGTCTCATCATCAATTGCTTTGAGTGTTCTCTTCACAGTAGTATTTCCAGAAATAGAGCAGGTGATATTTGCTTCAACATCCATTTGGGTTCTCTCAGGTAAAGTATGATTCTTGTAACTTTCTGTATAAACAGCTATATCAGTAAAATAAGAGGCACTTTTGTTCACTTCAAGTGTAAAATTACTGATTGTAGTGTATGTAACTCCTTGAGTGATGGTCCCTGTTGCAAAAGTCCCCGAAGTATTTCTAGACTCAGCAGAATATTCTCCCTGAGACATCACTCTAAAGGTATTGGAAGTGTCTGAGATATCCTTATGGTCAGTTAAAGTCATGAGTCTGGAATTCACACATTCATCATTCCCATCAACAGCAATTTTTCCAGCCATGTAGATGATGAATGTATCTGTGTAAAGTACATTGATTGTATAAGTATTCTCTGACATCAGCAGAGATGATGAAAATGTGTCTGAAATAATCCTAAAATTTGCTCGTTTTACTTACTCATATGTATAAATATAACTGTTCCCTGAGCATGTTGTGATGAAAATGATTTGATTGTTAAATTTCAGCGACGAATCTACACTTGTACACACTTCTGCAAAGTTGGTGACATACTTGTTAACCACTGGAGCTCCGTTAGAAGCCTTTAAAATTAAGAATAAAGTAACAGTGTCGAATGCAAGGCTCGTATAAAGCAAACCAGAGTCACTGCCATAGACAATGGAGCTTTTGCCTGCAGTCCCACCGTTTACAGGAGAGAAGCCTCTAACCCAGCCTTCTGTGAGTGTTATTAAGCTTCTTCTAGAGCCTTCTAGCATGCTAGCCTCATCTAGTTCTAAATTTCTTCTGTAGTCATTAACTGTAAATCTTGATAATTTAAGGTCATTGCTTCCAGAATTTGCTTGATAAATACTAAAAATATCCTTTTGACCGATTGCAATTAGACTAACAGGGAAGTCATGACTCGAAAGTCCAAAGCAGCCAATAATGATAGACTCAGTGGCAAAGCTGCATATTCCAGGGCCATTAGGAGTATTTGCAGTAAAGTGGACATATTTCCCATCACTTGAAATATCTGCAGAAGTCAGAGTGGCATCAATGGTGATGGAGCTTTCATCATAAATCCCTAAAATTTCTCCAGAATTAGCTTTCACTTTTGTCAACTTCAGATCTGTATTGATGAAGTATAGATAAGTCAAATCAGATGAGAGTAAGAGTGTCCCTTTCACTGGGTCAAGGCTATAAGCCACTCTCCAGCTTTCCCTGAAGTAATAATCAGTTTTCCTTAAGACCACGGAGGCTGCCGAAGAGAACTCAGTCTTAATCAGAGAGTAGATCCAACCACCTGCAGTATCCACCTTGACGGAGTAAACCTGGCAGTTGGCATTGGAGGGCTGGAGGCTGTAGACGAAGTTTGAGGGAACGCTGTACCACTCTGCGTCACTGTAAGTGCATTTTTGAGGAGTTGTATGGGGAAGGATTGTCACAAGTGAGAAAATTGTTATGAGCTTAGAAATCATGTTGGACAATTTTATTAATATTTAGATTAAATAATAGATTATTAGAGGATATTAAAGGGGTTTTGGGGTTTTGGGGTTTTGGGG